TATGATTATATATAGGTAATGATTATAGTTATGATAACACTAAATAGTACTTATTGTTGTAAAGGAGAGCAACAGGGAAGGGCACTACAGGGAAAGGCACGGGCGATATATGCGGGAAGTGATATATTAGTTGATCAAGAGAAGGAGGGTCGGGAGGGTGAACTTATAAAAGCAATTAAGCATTATCAATTAAAAACGTCGAGACAATATCGAATATTTTATCATTCTGTCCAGTTGTTAAAGTTTTGTGGCCGTGTAGAAACAAAGAAATCTTATCAAGCTGCGTTCTAAAATTTGTATTGTTAGCGCCCAGGACATTCTGAATAGACAAATGAAAATCACGATACTTCAACTGCCTCCGTGGGCACTGGAAGAAAAAATGGCGTATAGTCTCAGGTTTCCCACAAGAGCAGTTCGGAGAATTTACCGAGTCCCAGTTGTGGTTATATAATTGGGATTTGAACAATAGATCTACACGCGCACGGTTTAGATATTTTTCATTCTTTCTTTCTAACTTTAGGGTGGTAGTAGATAACGAACCAGAAAATAGTTCGGATTTCAGAGAATGCTTGAATAACGCGATATTTGGGGTATACTTTCGTTCGAGACTGAGACTATTCCATGAAGACACGAGTAAGTATTCAGGACCCTGAAATGTAAACTTGGCTGGGATGATGTAATCTCTATACGAGGACTCTCTTGTTTGCGGGGTTATTAGATTTTTAAAAGACCGGAAATCTTTAATAATATATGTAGGAGCCATATTGTGATGGATAGTGAACATAACCTTTTTTGCATGCATTATTCTACGGTTTTCCAAAGTAGCCCAGTTCAGCTCTCTAAGCACTTTGATTGTGTTCGAACCGGGCAGAGCACCTAAAACAAGCAGACCAGCTTGATAGTGAATAGAAGAAAGTTTGGAAAGATTCCTTTTAGTTGCTGAGTGATATAGGATGTCGCAGTAATCAAGCAGAGACAGAACGTAAGCGTTATATAGTATATTCAAGTGCCTAGATCTGAGCCTGTGGGACAGGGACTTAAGAGGATTCAGGGCCTTTTGGGCCTTAGTAGCTAGATAACTTATATGCTCGGCACAAGACAGTTTTGAATCTAGTACGAATCCGAGATGTTTGTGGAATGATTTCCGGGGTATCGTTAAATCACATAATATTAGATTTCTGTATTTATTCGCTGTAACCTTAGTAGAGAATATAACCTCACAACTCTTATCAGGTTTGAACTCCAGTTTCCACCTGTTAGACCATTCCTCGAGCTTTGAGAGGTCGGATTGAAGTGCATCGTGCGACTGGCTGTCAGAAGGAATAGAAGATTGAAAAATAGACGTGTCGTCAGCATATAGAAAACAATCTGAAGAAAGGTTGTCTGCTAAATCATTTATATATAGAAGAAAAAGAAGAGGACCGAGAATGCTGCCTTGTGGAACACTAGTGTTGATGTAAGATTCGTTGGAAGATTCAGATAACGTGCCGTTGATACGGACTTTAACTTTTCTATCGCTCAAATAAGAGGATAATAGTGACAGTAGGTTACCTTTAATACCATAGGCTGACAGCTTGATTAGTAATAAACTATGCGGAACTTTATCAAAAGCGGCTGAAATATCAAGAAATATTCCTCTTACATCTCGGCCCTTTCTAAAGTTAGATCTAATCAAATTTTGAATTGCCAGTAATTGGTGTTCAGTGCTATGACCCTTAAGAAACCCGGATTGTTTTTCAAACAATAAATTATTGTTAACGACATGATTAATCATCCTTTTATAAATAATTTTTTCCAAAAGTTTGGATAAGACGCTCAAAAGTGACACTGGTCTATAGTTATCTATGCAACTTCTGTCACCTTTCTTATAAATCGGGCAAATAAACGCCATTTTCCACAGGTCAGGGTAGGTGTTAGATTGAATAATATAATTAAATAAAATACATAATGGTTTCACAACAACATCTTTGCTTAGTTTTAACATTTTTATCGTCACCGAGTCCGGACCACTTGCCTTAGATGCATCCATATCATCGATTATTACTTTGATCTCAGTGTCATTAAAATCAATTTCTGACAAAATTGCATTTGTTTTATCAGGGAAGTTAACTAATGCTGTGGAAGTCACTACATCGGAATGGTACCTTTCTGAANTTTTTTTTTTTTTTTTTTTTTTTTGCTAATGAATAGATCGTGGGTCAAATATCTGCGCCAAGGTTACATTGATATCAACAGTGTTCCGTTTCTTCAAGTCACCCTCTCGTCATGTTCGTCACACACGTCATCGTGTAAGCTATAAACGCCGTATTTCTATTTGTCGTTCGTACAGAGTTAATGCCAAACACGTCAGTTTTCTCTTAGGCGTCCGTACAGTTAATGTCAAACACGTCAGTTTTCTATTTGCCGTTCACACGGAGCTAGCTAATATCACAAATTAGCGAAATAATTTGCAAAATCTGTTTATTGGAGGTCAGTGGAAGTCGCAACGAACAAAAAATGACAGTTAGATATTGTTAACAAGAAAAAAACTAACGTTTACTTTTTACAAGGAGAGTTAAATCTATGGATATGATGGATAACGATAACGGAAAAAATATACGATGTACTCTTGAATACATACAACATGTATTTATCAGATTTAGTCCTGTGGTACTTTCCTTGATATGATTTAAAAGTTTTCTCAGAAAAAATATTAAAAGGTTCCTTGAATATAGATACTGTAATAATAAACAGAATGAAAAATGTTGTGGAAATCTCAGAAAGGTGCACAGGTCGACAAACCTAATGCTCCAGAGAGGGTTGATATTGTTTTAGGTGAGACCTCTCATCTGGATGATCTGGTCAATATCTTTTTAGTTTTATTTTCCAAAGGGTTACTCTATATGAACATGTTAATGGTGGGGGTGGTGATACATATTGAACATGTACCTGTATCTTAATCACGCCTTGTCCAAACATGGCGCCGGGGTCTTCTGTGAAATATGCAACAAACCGATAAGAGTGAACTTTTTTTGACAGGTCTAGTTGTTTGGGATCCCGTATGTGGTTCTTTCTTTGTAATCTCCCTTTTCCAGTCCGACCTCTTGATGGTTTATCTCCGATCGTGATATTGTTAGTAGTCCGCGTTCCATTTTAAGCGTTGTCTTTTCGCGCTATTATCCTGGTCATGGTCAGAACGCAAGAAAATTTCAAGCAGACAAATACCACTGGCAATGAAGTGCAAGGTCGTGCACGTTTTTGTATAGTCACAAATATAGCCTCTTTAAAATATAAAAAGCAGAGTAGTAAAAATGAAAAAGAGTAAAGCTGTGAAATTGTAAAGTTTACTTTCTACAAGCGATTTTCGTTTTACCAAGGACTTTTGATCAGTTGAATAGTGATCATAGAAAAAAGAAATATATATTTATTCTAGATCTATAATATATACATATCAATTTTAGAGTTGTAGTATATTCCTCGAAATAATTCAAAAATAAAGTTGAATATAGATACTAGTACTGGGATATTATACAAAATGCATTCCCAAGTGGAAAGGTCCACTGGCCGACAATCCTATTGTTTCAGATGAGAACAGGGGAGATGCTATCTTTCGATAGTAACTGTGTATGAACACAGTGGTGACTTTAGTATGTATAATGAACATATATCTCACACACTCCCTGTCCAAAGATGACTTGACGGCCTTGGAAAATACAATAAACAAATGGAACTGATTTTCTGACGGATTTAGTTTGTACGTTGGTACTTGGGGTCCAATGTCTCTCTCTTCTTCAGTTTTGATATGGTGTATCCAGATGATAGTGCTAGCCGTCGACGCAGTCCAAGGGACCACGGGAACCTAGAGAACGGTTTATTATTTTGAATCTAAGAAGTTACAATTATAACTCGAGCTAAAAAATTGTCAAACAGCTTATGTTGCGTGATTGCCTGTACTTTCTTTTTTTCCGAAGTTTCTTGTGACTCACCGTGTTTAACAACCGCTGCGTCGCATAATTTCTTAAACTTCCCGCTGGAGACCAGTTTGTTGAACCCTACGTTCCAATAGGAGTTGAAGTCGTTGTCTTTCCGTGTCATCATTCCGTTGCCAGCCAGCGTGCAATAAAAACCACCCCAAGGGACTTGTTCAATCTCAGGGTTGGCTCTTGATGTGTAGCCTGTCATGTGGACTGCAGGTACAAATGCTACATCTATCTGTTAGTGATAAGGGGTTAAATATAATTTTCAAAATTCCATAAATCAAGAAGAGCATAATTAAACATTGCATTGCACATTAATGTAATAGGGAACTTAACAAGGAAATTGAATGCCACTGATAAAACGGTAAATATTATTAAACCAAACTCGACATTCTTAACAATATAGATATCGAACACTGATCTATATTTTAAGGTCAAAATCAGACATGTTAATTATCATACCTCGTCACTTTTCAACTTGGCTACGATATTTTCAAGGTTATTAACGTGGTCGCTGGTCATATTGTCCTGACCTGTTACGTCAGTCCATCTGGACAGACACTTTTCATCACTAAACCACCCATCAACGAAACCTAAAACAATACAGTTGATTTGATTTCTTTCAAATTTATCCATTTATTCATTTATTATTTATTTATTTATTCATTTACCAAACCTCCATAAATGTGCTATAGCAGTTAGTAACTTCATTTGCCTAAATAATCTGTTGTTCCAAGAAACCACAGTTGTAACAATGAATACGTAACAGTACTGATGATACTCTTTGTTAAATAGCGTATAATGTCATTAACAAGTGCGCAGCCTAAAACCTTGGCTTAAGCTTGAAACACTAATGCTTATCAAAGTTTTATGCTTTGGCTAATAAATGCCATTTACCAATTTTCTTGTTAGCTAAATTTTTGGAAGGAAACGAAGCAGCGTTCCCCGTCTTCATATATAAATAGCTGATCGGGGCCTTAAAGAATGACGAAGAAAAACTGAACACCTGGATCCTCTCTAAGGTACGAAACCAGCCGGTGCAGGCATCATACCAACGGCCCATCAAACCTGAAATGTAGAATAATTCCAACGCTATAGAGATGTTTGCTTACAGCGTTTACATGAATAATGCCGGTCTAAAAGATTTTGAGCCAGAAAGTCATTTTTTGTCAAGACCAACGTTTCATTTTAATTGTGAAAAAAGGGAAGTTTTTTAGCAATTCACATTAATTAAGCGGTGGACTTGTATCAATTTACGCTGTGTCCAAGGGGATAAAAATGTTTATCACGTTAATAATAAAATGCAAGATATTAATAAAAATGAGATGAAAATGAAAGATTCTGAAATGGTGTAGTCAACAAGACATCACTAAAACACTCCACGTACCCTGGCCGCCGTGTGAGGGTTGTCCTGGGGTGGTGTCCCAGCAGTTGGTATGCTTGTCCCATATAGTACGACAGTCCATGCCAGCCTCGGTGCAAACTGTAGGAATTTTTAAATTTAAATTGTCTTGGCTTTCTTTGCAATATTTGACCCCAAAATCATAATATCCCCAAAAAATAATGTATTCCATTTGCTTTCCATCTTGGTAAACTACATGTATGAATGTGTAAACATGCATCTTTCATTGATTTGGACTGGCAGAGAGGATGATGGGGAATAAGCAGTGATTAAGTTCTAAAACATCAACGTATAGGTTAAAATGAATTTCTATTTACCCGCGTCAATTAAATCCAAATGAAAGCCTGCCAAGTAGCCAGAGGTGTCTCTGAAAATGAAAACATCACAGGTATAACACGACAGAATTTTTCTCCACAGTTATTAACACCAGCAGAAGTAACCGTGTTCGGTAAAGTTTATAAACACCCTCTAACCTCTTACTGCTGATATTACCGATACCACGCCATTTTTATCAAACTTTCCTGTAAGATGAAAAGACAATGCAGACTACAAAAGTTTGAAAATAACTACATATACAGACACAGAGTACAGTTTCCAAAGTAGAATTTTGACAAATATTACGAAAAATATATAGTTTGGTACTTACAATCTTGATTTTAAATGCTTTCTAAATTCAGTTATGTAATAGTTTCTGGTTTCAGATAAATTAGTTTTGTAATTTTCTGATTTTTCGGTTTTCCTTAGCTCACATTTTATTGAAATGTATTTCTTTTTATTACATGGCAAGTAATAAGTATCTTCTTATTGTATTTTTTTGACAAATTTGAATAGCAAACACCTTGTTTGTCAAGTCACCATATAAAACTTATTGAAAGTCAGACTTGTGTGGTTTTGGGGGCCTGCTGTAAAAGTTGCATGTTACACTTCATGCTTTTTCACCTCTTTAATATGCAGAGATAACTTTGTAATACCTTTAATGCGCACGGAAAATTTTACCTACCTATATTCTAAAGCGCCTATATCAAGCCCTATAGCAATCGTGAAGATCCGTCCTCCAGATGATGATGAGACTGCTGAGCCAGAGCTCCTACCAGAACTATCAGCAGACGATCCTTGGCCAGAGGTGCTGCCACCTATTGTCGTTTGGTCGCCTAGGATGGTGATGTTTGGAGTGGTCGAGTATCTCGATACTGCCACTACAGCTATAACTATAGCTATTACGGCGACGATTGCACACACTGCTACCAGTACTATCAAATTTCTGTTACCTGAACTAGAAGACCCAGCTAGAAAAACAGCATTGTTAATTGACATTTTGTTGCCATTAATTATATGTTAAAACTCCATGAAGATTCAAACCAAAATTTTGTATAATAAATCACTGAAGATAAAGTATAAACCAGGACAAATGTGAACAATTAGAGATGGAATAGTACAATAGATAATAACAATAATACATATATGTTATACTACACTATACCACTGGTAATTTTAACCTTTCAAGAGGCGGTTTTTGTCTTCTACCCCATATGGCAAATAATATATGGTGATTACACAGTGCTTATAGCAGATTATGATAACAACCTGTAACCCGTATACTGCAAACAGTTATGTCAGAGAGTAGAGAGAATGGTCTGGATCTGAATATTATAAGGACAGAGATAATGGTTGTCAGATACAATTGCTCCTGTCTGTAGCATCTACACAAAAAGTGCTAAATTAAAACTTTAAGTCGCTCTATTTAATACCTAGGCACTTTCATTATTTCAGATGGCAGAGTTTCAACAGAAATATCGCAAAGACTTGGACAACCAAAAACACCATTTCACCAAATGAAGAACATAACAAACCGTATCAATAGAAACAAGAACGAAAATGCTACATAGAACCGTGTATGTTCCGTCAAAAACGCAGATCATTAGTATTTAAAATAAATTTTAAATAATAATAATAATAATCAAAAAAGCCAAAGGTTTGTAATGAGACACTTAACTGGTATTAGTCCCCCTGATATCAACTGATCAACGTTCTGGCACAGATTTGGTAAGATTTATATTCATTACTGCCATAGATTTGTTTTTTATGGCATTGAGACAAAAAAAAAATTCCCTCAATCCTGGCGATGCTTTCATTTGCTGTCTGTTGGATGTTGCTTATAGCAGCTGACAACACATGCCTCCAACACAGTTGTACCATCCACGAAGCCAGGACAGCGTAGGAAGCAAATACTTTTACCAACCGGACGAGAAATGCCAAGCTACTCAATGTAATAAAAAGAGATATTATAGAGCAACTGGTAACAGGAAATTCGTGGAGAAAAAGAAGCAGGATGACATAAGACAAAGAGGAAAATGCTGGACAGCTGCAAATATTACGTGAGTGGGACGTGGATGGGCCATACTAACATGATGATGATGATGATAATATTGATTTTGAATTTGTACCCCGGTTAAGGAAATGGCCTTGTATTTTATACAATGATATTTTGATAAGTTATATTCTTAACAGGGTATTTACTCTTACTTCATACAGTGTAAGTTACCTGCAGGAGTAGTGCCACCTTCCATAATTTCAAATTTCTGCATCAAATGTCGGTTAAGGGAATGCTACAAACTCTAAAACAGAAAATGAGAGTTTTTAAATCAAATATAAAGACAGTTTGTTACATTAAAAGGGCTGAAATGCATTGGTTGACCACTACCAGCTCTCCTACACCGTGGTAGCCAATACACCTCACACCTTAAACTATGTGGGGTGCGTCCTGTCGACCAGAGGCAGAAATTTGGAAATATACTTCTCACAAGCTGTTCTCCAAACCCATTGTGCGTCCATCACTTGTGACAACGCTGAACCTGCTTCAACCTGAGAACAGTATTATTGCCCAATTGTTGGCTAGCGTAAATGCCATAGTTCTGGTACACCATCTTAATTAATATTTAAAAGATAATTGGTGTTGGGATATTTCAAAGGTCAAGCTAGGTATATCAATGCTCTACTACTTACGTCGCCAACTTACACTATGATAGGTTGTCTGCTGTTAATCAAAATTTAGTAAGATCTAATTTTTGGTGCCCTCCTGGCAATGTTCAAAATTGCGGTATGGGTGACAATTTATTTGGAAAGGGATTATATAAATCTTCAGTCATGTGGGGACAGAGAGCGCAGGCGGTTGCTTAGGATCTTCAATATAAAAAAAAAAGAATTGCAAACTTTTCATCACTTTTTTCTAGAATTTCACACACAAAACAGTGTTTACAGGTTACATACAGAAAGTTGCTCTCAATATTTATATATTGAGGGTATATTTAAAGTATGTATGAATATACACATGTATTATGTGAATCAGTGCAATTTGAAGACGACCAGAAATAAAACAAATCAGGAAAGTTTAAACAAGCAGTCAACCAATCAAAATGCTATATAACAGAAAAGATACACACATTCACGCGCTCACATAAACGCCCACAAGTGCATACACTCACATTTTCTCTTTCTTACCTGCTGCGGTGATGTCATTAAAACATGTCTCAAACAAGGTTATAATCCACTTCGACTGACAGTACTCCACTAGCAGAATACAAAATATGTTTAAGTACGTGATATTAGTCGTGTTGGAGTGTAGGGGTGATGGGAGAGGTCGAGATAAAACAAGGTAAGCAGCATTTAAGCAAAATATAGCTTGTTTATTAAATAAGGTGACTATTAACAAACCACCATACGTGTGCCCTACTACAAAAGAGGTTTCTCTTGGTTTCTAATTAGAATATTTAAGCAAAGTATAGCTTGTCTATTACATAAGGTGACTATGAACGTATCACCATACCGTGTGTCCTACTACTAAGAGGTTTAACTTTGTTTCTAATCAGGATATGATAAAACAGATTAAGAGGCTAAATAAGTATTACCTACGCATAATGGAAATAGTAAAGCACATTCCTTCTTGTGTTAATCGTGTAACTTTCACGTACATGTAATCTGGGATTATTGATGGTGTATTGGAACGATGTGATTCACTCTCATTGTTATTTAGTCTCTAAGATAGGAGTATCTCTGTTTCATTATACATTACACGTCTATAAATACTTCTATTTATTCGAATGCTATTCTTTCAGCACGTTCTTCCATCCTTAAAAATTATTCCGTATTTTAACATTTTATCAAAATCTTTTAACATTTTATCAAAATCTTTTTAATTGTCCATGTTTGAGTAAAAATAAAAACGAGTAAAAACAATACGCTATTTCAACCAAACAGGTTTAAATGGATCTAAAAACAGACTAATTCTTGCTAATCGGGATCGAAAACTTTTGGTAGATATTCATTGGGTAGGCCCAGAATTGATTTTATTATTTAAAATGACGCATAACAAGTAAATTTAGCTCATCTTTTTTTGATACAGAAATGAAAAATAATATAATGAAATAACAAAAATAATACTTTTCACCCCCTTGAAACTTTTTGGTGTGTCTTAATTGTCAGTATTTTCTCTCTGTAATCCCTCTTCTGCGGTCTCTTTTTCGCTTTTGGTGATACCTACATGGTATTTCTAGCCATCAACGCAGGGCACGTGACCACGAGAACCTACAAAAGTTCTTTAAACTTACAGGTAACATACAGTATTGTGACGAAATAACGTTGTATGAAATGGCATCAATTTCATTTCGCCTGTTTTCGAGTGTGTTCTGTTCAGTGAGGATATGATATATTATTACTGTAGGCCTACAGTTTTTTTATGTGAGACCACTTATTGCCGACTGAATTTTAATCTTGTTTATCATTAGAAAACAAAATGTTACATCTAGTAACCGTGGCTGTTGTATTTTACTTTTTAGTTAGGAAAGCTTTCCAATTTCAACATCTCAGCTGATATCCGGGTTATGAAGAATACTGCTTTTTAGAGCGGGTTTCATGTGACTCACCGTGTTTTGTAGCGGCATCGTCGCATAATTTCTTAAACTTCCCGCTGGAGACCAGTTTGCTGAGGCCTACGTTCCATTTTGAGTTGAAGTCGTTGTCTTTCCGTGTCATCACCCCGTTGCCGGACAACATGCAAGAAAACCCCACCCCGGGAACTTGTTCAACCTCGGGGATGGCTCTTGATGCATAGTGCACCATGTCTAGGGCAGACGCGAAGGCAACTTCTATCTGTTTGTTAAAACAATGATATAGATTTAGTTTGCACCAAACATGTGTGTGTAGCATACTCCTGTTTACTGGGAAGGTCATAATGAAATATCTCGTGGCACTGTATTAATTCAAATATAAAGTTTTAATAGTTACTTCTGTAATACAGACTTGACATTTAATATGGAATATTTTTTAAAATCATTTTTCATCAGTTTTTTCCTATTTTGCCGACTGATAAATGAAAATAATGATTAAAATCGTATTCTAATAACGCTTAATGATCTATTTGATGTCACTGTGACATCGGTTTATTAATTGAAATCGCCAGTGCCTATTCTAAGTCATACGACAAGCATTTAAAGTGATATTATAGATCTCCATATATCTAAATTATCATCTATGAAAGGGTAACACGTCCCACGAAAGAACATCATGTCGGTATCTGGTCAGCAACGGTCGCTCTTACGCCTGACCTCATTTGGCTGCTACCAGGGCTCTCAAGCAGCAAGGCATTCCTTGAGATAGGTTTTTAGAGTTAAATCTGGAAAAACATTTCAGGTATCGGTCAAAACTTGTCCAATTTGGTTCAATTTTTTTGTAGGACATGTAGGCCGTTGATTCGGCGAGTAATGACCTACCCACATTCTGAACGGACTGGGTAGCTTTTGTGTTAAGTTGCAGCAGCTTCGACCCGCCCAAAGGAGCGCTACCAAAATAAATCATTGCATATTACACAATGCAGCAGTGCAACAGACATGATAGTCCGTTGGTTGCGACACACCTGACTACACACTTCTCCATTCGTATAACTTATATGAGATCTGATCTTTTTTTTTTTTTTTTTTTTTTTTTTGAAAAAAAAGCATTTATATCTAGGCATACCTTTGAAACTGAAATATTCCATATTAAATGTCAAGTCTGTATATTACAAAGCCAAATTTCGTTTTTGCTGCCCGAAGAAAATTGGCACATTCTTCAATTCAAGATTGGAATCTAACACGCTAAATATCATACCTCGCCACTTTTCAACTTGGCTACGACATCTGCAGGGTTCTGAACGTGGATGATGGTCATATTGTCCTGACCTTTGACGTCAGTCCATCTGACCAAACACTTCTCATCAGTAGCAAATCCATCAATGAAACCTTAAATAATCAAGGAGATTAATTTTCTATTTTCTATTACTATTTTTATTACCTACCTGATTGACAATACAATTGCAATACATTGATGTAGGTAATCTTGCTAACACACGGATTTATTTAAAAAAAAAACTAAACAAGACTAACAAAACAACTGAGGAAAGTATAACTGACCGTTATTACAAAACATCGCCAACAACTGCAGATCCTACGATTGCCGCTTCGATTTCTAATTGATACATTAATGCTTATCGGTGTTATTTGCTTTGATAAAAATATGTGTCTTACCGATTTTCTTGTTAGCTAAGTTTCTGGATGAAAACGAAGCAGCATTTCCCGGCTTCGTAAATAAATAGCTGACTGGGGGCTTGAGGAATGGCGAAGAAAAACTGAACACCTGAACCCTACCTATGGTTGGAAACCAGCCGACGCAAGCATCATACCAACGGCCCATCAAACCTGAAATGTGGTTGTATACTATGACAGACAACTGCGTTTTTGGTGGTGAACTTTTGTCATCAGTAATAATTGCGTCCAATGTAGCAGTCTCTCTTGCGAAATTAACAAAGATTGAAGAATATACTTGAAGACATATTGAATAACAAGTGCTTGTTATATTTGTCTACCTAGTTTTAGGTATATTCGCCAATATTATTAATATTAATGATATAAAACAAACCACTGCAAGTGGCATAGGCTGTGCCTCACACATTTTGAGTATATTCATATGCTTAGAAAGGCAGAACTCACATTGGCAATATCGATTCCAAAATAACAAACCAAAAGTTAATATTTTCAAAAACATCAATTTTAAGAATAAGGATAAAACTATATCTCCCCATTGCAATAAGGCATGTGCCTAACGATACACAATTTAATTATTTAGTATCATTTATTTTATCTATCTATATTAATCTATATTAAACAAGGTCAATTTGATTAATTCAGAAAGCTTTTATTGATTTAAGCTGTCAAAATAGGCCACATTTTTCGGTGAAGATTAATTTTTGTTAGCATTCATTTAATTATTGATTTTAGCCGTTTTATAGCCATATCGTTGGAGGAAATTAGAAGAAACCCATTTTTAGAAAAACCGAAAACGACAATTCTTATGCAATTAGTAGTATTAAAATCGAAAAAATTATGATCTTAGCGAGGCAAACGTAATAATATAGAGAAGAACGCAACGGAGTGAGAAAAAAAAATTAAATAAATCTAAAAAGAAGCAGTTAATGAGATATCACCAAAACACACCACGTACCCTGGCCGCCGTGTGAGGGTTGTCCTATGGTGGTATCCCAGCAGTTGCTGTACTTATCCCATACAGTGCGACAGTCTATGCCAGCCTCGGTGCAAACTGAAAAGATATCATTATTCAAAAATAAAAAGTTGGCCCAGATTTCTTGTTGCATATTAAAATACCAAGAACACGTAGGCAATACATGTATGTGTTATAATACTGTATACGTATATTTATTGTCTTCAGTAGCCACAATAACTATCAATATGCCTGTCATGGAAATCATTCAAGATGGTCTAAACCGAGGCTGTCAGTAATGGCTTAGTAATGGATTAGAAAGTATGCAAAAACCCACGTGGGCTGAGGGTGAAACTCTATGCTCGGTAATGTCTTCTTTCCAGTTCAAAGTAATACAAAAGTGACACATAATGGTGGGACTGTTGTGCAAAAGACAAAACTTTAGTTTAAAAAACACAGAAAATTATCCTTGCATAAATTCTGTCATCTTTTCTTTGCTGTACCTAAAAGCTAGTCTGCCATTGTTTCTGACTCCACTCTCCTCTAAATCCCTAGAAATCTCGCTTGATTTTATGCTTAGTTGCGAGACTTAAGACTATTTCGGAAGATTCCCATTTTTGCCTAACATATCAAATTCAAATTGCATAATTTGTCAACAACTGACATACTTAGGCTCTGTTCTCACAACTTTTGGATCGATCTATCACCGCGGGGAGTCTCACTAGATTACTGTCAGATAATCCCCCTTAANTAGGCTCTGTTCTCACAACTTTTAGATCGATCTATCACCGCGGGGAGTCTCACTAGATTACTGTCAGATAATCCCCCTTAAGTGTCCGTCCCCGCCTACTACAAGCTTTAAGGGGTAATTAACTTTCGTGTCCGCCCGGCTGACAGCTATTTAGCGTGAACCCCCAGGGAGTTAGGTCGATCCAATGTAGGTCGATCTAATCTATGAGAATGGGGTGTAAGTTACATGTAACTTATTAAGTGAGTGACATAGCATCGGGCAAACAGTGGTCATATTTGTTGAAATGCGATAATTGCATTTACTTAACATTTCGATTAAAATGAAATGTCGATTTACCTGCCTCGATTAAATCATAATGAAAGCCTGCCAAGTAGCCAGAGGTGTCTCTGAAATAAGAACAATGCGTTATGGATATGAATGTTAGCACGTATTTCATGCAGTGTACGTGACAATTTTGGGCAGTTTAATTACAGTGCACCAAGATCCTAGCATTTTATTGCTCATTTTATAGAAACCACATTGTGTTGATTAAAATGTCTTCCTCAAAAAAAAAAAAAAAAAAAAAAAAAAAAAAAAAAAAAAAAAAAAAAAAAAAAAACTTCAGATATGCCAATGACTAGTTGGAGTTTAAAGTTTCTCAACCAGCGGTAATGAGAGGCTGAACATTGTTGCACATAGTTAATTTTTCAGAATTCCCCTCAGTTTCATACAGAAAAAAATCATTATATATAAAAACCGAAAAAACACTTATCCAGTTTGACAAATATTTATACAGATAAGTTATGTATTTGGATGGCAAAAATATTGAACAAGTCACGACAGTATTGAGTTCAGAAAATACTTGAAACACTGGAAGGATTTGAAGGAGCTTTTTGGGGGCTACTGTATACTCAGTTGCGGGTCATACCACTTCTTTTTACTATTGTTATCGGCAGAGATAAGCTTTTTTAATTTTTTCCACAGAAAAATCTACCTACATATATTGGTGCGCGCCCCAGTCATGTCCTACGGCAAGCGTGAAGATCCGTCCTCCTGCAGACGATCCTTGTCCCGCAGAGGTGCCGCCACCTTTTGACGTTTGGTCGCCTTGAATGGTGATGTTTGGAGTCGTAGAGGATCTTGATACTGCCACTACAGCTATAACTATTGCTACTATGGTGACGACTGCACACACTGCTACCAGCACTATCAAAATGCGGTTTCCTGAACTAGAAGGCTCAGCTACAAAAACAACATGATTGATTGTTGATTGATATTTTGTTGACATTAATAATGTTTTATCTCCAGAAATTTTGTAAAAAAAACCATATTGTCAATAATATTTAGAACATATGTTGATGACACAGTGCCTATAGCAGATAATGATAACAATCTGTAACTCTCACTGCATGTTGTCATATCAGAGAGTAGAGAGAAGGGTATGATCTGAAAAGTTTAAAGGCTGTCAGATACAATGTGCAGTTGCTCCGGTCTGTAACATTTATACTGTACAAACAGTACAAAATTAAAACTTAAAGTCACTCGACTCAATGTCGAGGCATTTTCCTTACTTCTGATGGCAGAGTGTCAACAGAAATATTATCAAAACTTGGACGAGCAAAAGAAAAAAAATTCACCAAATGAAAAACATAACCAACCGTATCAATAGAGAGAATTTAAAAAATGCTACATAGAACCAATTGTAATGTTCCGTCAGAAAACGCGGATCATAGGCTTTAAAATTAGTAATAATAATGATAATAATAATAATAATAAACAGCCAAATGTTTGAAATGAGACACTTAACTGGCCTTAACCCCCCCCCCCCCCTTATCCACTGATTAAAGTATTGGTGCAGATTGGGTAAAATTTACTGTTCTGGCATTGAGACTCAAAAGTATTCCCTTCTCTCCAGTCAGTACTTTCATTTGCAGCCTTTTGGATGTTGCTGGTTGTTTCAAAACAACACATGCCTCAAACACAACTTGAAGTTAGGACAAAGTGTAAAGCAAATGCATTTACCAACCGGACCAGGAAAGGCAAGCTACTTACTTATGACTTGCCATGTAATAAAAAAAAGATATTTCAGCAATAACAACTCTTCGTATGAGATCTTTATTCCACAATAAATACACTGTAAACAACTCATAGAAATATAATATTTTCTATTTTACCACAAAAAAGGCACGTAACCTCCATAGTAGATGGCTATACTCTGTTATAATCTCTTAAGAGATTATTATAAAAAAAACTTTTTAGAAAAAAAACAGGGACTGACTTTGAATGCAGATATGTATTAATTAACAATTGGTAAGTATGGGAAGATTGTTTACCCCAGGAAAATTCATTTGTTGGCTAAAATGAACAATAGTTATCCTTTTAATGAGCAACTGGAAATTCGTGGAGAAAAAGAAACAGAATGATATGAGACAAAGAGGAAAAATGCTGGACAGCAGCAAATATTATGTGAATGGAGCATACTAAGATGATGTGTAGGGGCATACTAACATGATGACGACGATGATGATGATATTGATTTAGAATTTGTACCAGGGTTAAGAAAATGGCCTTGTTTTTTTATACAATGGTATTTTGATAAGTTATATTCTTTACAGGGTATTTATTCGTACAGTGTATGTGCAAGTTACCTGCCGGAGCAGTGCCACCTTCCATGATTTCAATGTCGGTTACAAACTCTAAAACAAAAATGAGAGCTTTTAAAATCAAATATCAAGAAATTTTGTGACATTATCAATAAAAAGCATTAGTGCTGATCATTGCTTGACAGCAGTATACACTCGAACCATTTCTGTGGCCATGGAATTTATTTCTTTATTTTCGGCATGTTTATCATCATTACAATAATAATAATAATAATAATAATAATAATAATAATAATAATAAAGCTGATCGCCACAAGACAAATTAGCTAGTGCCTGTTTAAATTTGATGGTTTTAACCCTCTTAATGGTTCTTGCGGTACAAACGATCCTTTTTTGCGTTTGTTGGGTCGAAACTACCTCCTGTTACCATGGTAAAAATGCATCTCCCTAACTTAAGAGCCGTATATTAATAATATAATATGATAATTGGTGTTGGGATATTTCAATGGTCCAGATGGGTAGATATACACCACTGTTTGCTCTACAGCTTATGTCACCAATTTAAACTATGATCTGTTGACTAGATGTTAAGCAAAATTTAGTTAATTCTAATTTTAGGGTGCCTGCTGGCAATGTTCATAATTGCGGCAGGGATGATACAGTATACATGTTTGCATTAATTTTGGTTTGTTAAATCGAATGTTAAGATCAGATTTTAAGGTCAAATTTAAATTTTACTGAAATTTGGTAAAAGCTGCTCTACTTTGCGGGCCTCTTCAAACCAAGATACCAAAAAGTAGGTTTATTTGAATCCCGGAGACAGCATGCGTAATTAAAAGTACAAATACACGGATCAGTGGAAATGTGCACGAGGGAGGGGGGTATGTAGGTCAGAGAGAGCGGATGGTTGTTACAATTTTTAGAACTGTAAATTTTTCACCATTTTTTTTAATTCACACTCAAAACAGTGTTTACAGATTACATACAGAAAGTTGCTCTCAATATTTAAATATATTGAGGCTATATTTAAAGTATGTATGAAATTACATGCATTATGTGAATCAGTGTAACTTGAAGAAGACCAGAAATAAAACGAACCAGGAAAGGCTAAACAAGCAATCAACCAATCAAAATGCTATATAACAGAATAGATACACACATTCAAAGATACATACAAACGCCCACAAAAACATACACTCACATTTTCTCTTTCTTACCTGCTGCGGTGATGTCATTGAAACATGTCCCACAAAAGGTTATAATCCACTTCGACTGACAGTACTCCACTAACAGAATACAGAACAGAATACAAATATGGTTTAGTACGTGATATTAGTCGTGTTGGAATGTAGATGTGATGGACGAGGTCGGGATAAAACAAGGTTAACAGCATTTATGCAAAGTATAGCTTGTTTATTACATAAGGTGAGTATTAACGTACCACCATACCGTGTGCCCTACTACATGTACAAAAGAGGTTTCTCTTGGTTTCTAATTAGGATATAATAAAACAGATTAAGAGGCTAAATAAGCATAACCTACATGCATTATGGAAATAGTAAAGTACATTCCTTCTTGTATTAATCGTGTATCTTTCACATACATGTAACCAAGGTCTATTGATGGTGGAGCGAAACGATGTAATTAACTCTAATGGATTATTTATTCTTTAAAACGGGAGTAGCTCCGTTTCATTATACAACCATTAAAAAACGATACGTCTATAAATACATGTATTTAACAGAACGCTATTCTGCACGCATGTTCTTCCATCCTTAAAAATCTCCCACGTTACCTACACTGTACTAGTATGTTAACATATTATCAAAACCTCTTTAGGTCATGTAAAAAGAATATGCAATTCCCACCAAGTAGATTTAAATGGGTTAAATATCAGGCTGATCCTCGCGAATCTGGATCGAAAACTTTTGGTAGATATTCATAGGGTTGTTGTCTTACTATCAAGACTGTAAGAGACAGTGATAGCTCCAGAATTGATTTTATAGTTTAAAATGACGCATTACAAGCACATCTAGCAAATGAATTTAGATAATAATAAAAAAATAATAGTATAAGATATGAGATAACAAAAGTATTACTTGTCACCCCCTTGAAATGACGAAAAGATCAATTCACCTTCTAAAGCAGCCAACTGGATGAATTGAAAATTTAAAGAATACCAAAATACCAAAAATTTCACTCACTACGCTGATAGAGGTTTCCAAAAGTGATGACTGATACATTAGCAAAAGCATTTGCCAAACCTCCTACCCAGTACACACTGGTAGAGAGTGCAAGCCGCAAAGAACACTAACTGTGATTACTAGAAGATGATAAAAAGAAAAATGCTAAAATTGTTATGTTTATTTTATCACAAGCGTTATACGTCATAATAAGACAGTTTTGAGCATTTACTATAAAAATAATAGAAAAAATACAAATGTTCTCTAGAATACATACAAAACAGCCTAAGGCCTATAGCACTCTCCTAAATATGTTTTAAAATCTTTCGCAATATTTTGTTGTTAGAAAATATCTTAGTTATTCTGTATGAAGGCAAACACCCCTTCGATATATATATTGTGACAAATGAGTTCTGTTCATTTAACAAGAAATGAACAATAAAGTCCGTCAGTGAAACAAACATTTTGTTCAATCTGCATAGCTGTTACATGTACTCTGCTTTTAAATTGCAGATTATCGCTTTCCAAATTGGAGGGTACTACGGTAAATAAAACAGTGGAAATTATTGAACAAATCAAAATTGCGCCAACATCACAAAAATGCGCGTCGCTGAAGAGACTCAAAAGTTCACCTTTTTGTTGAATTAGTACTTAGTAAGTTAAAAACCTTAGAAATATTCACAAATCGACAATCTTAAGGCTCCGGAGAGGGTTGATATCGTGTCAGGTGAGAACAGGTGGATCCTCTCAGTTGGTCTATAATGCCTTATTTATCAGAGGGTTACTCTGTTTGAACTGTATGGTGACCAAGATACATACTGAACATGTGTCTGAATTTCGTCTTTCAACAACGGACATAATTCTTGCAATTTAATGGATATTAAAAGCAGGTTAAAACCGAAATATGCTCAAAGAATCCTATCAATATATGTTAGTCAAATATCACTTCAACAAAAAACGGGTTTTGTGTATCGGACTTTTTTTCTCCGAAATCTCTCTTCTCCATTCTCTTTCCCGCTCTTGGTGATATTTTCATGGTATTTCTAGCCATCGACGCAGGTCACAGAACCACGAGAACCTACAAAAAAGCGGATCTGATATATACTTGCTTTACAATTTTTTACGTGAGACCACTTCTTGCCGACTGAATTCTAATAATGTTTATCTTTAGAAACCAAAATTTTAGATCCAGTAACTATGGTTGTTGTTTTTCACATTTTAATTAGGAAAACTATTCAGTTTCGACATCTCATCTGATATCCTGTGTATGAAGAATAATGCTTTTTAGAGCTGTTTTCATGTGACTCACCGTGTTTTGTAGCCGCTGCGTCGCATAATTTCTTAAACTTCCCGCTGGAGACCAGCTTGCTGAGGCCTACGTTCCATTTTGAGTTGAAGTCGTTGTCTTTCCGTGTCATCATCCCGTTACCGGACAGCATGCAAGAAAATCCAGCCCCAGGGACTTGTTCAACCTCGGGGTTGGCTCTTGATGCATAGTCCGCCATGTCTAGGGCAGACACGAAGGCCGCTTCTATCTATTTGTGAAGAAAAACAGAATATATTTAGTTTGCACCAAACATTCGTGTGTAGCATTCTCCTGTTTACTGGAAAATGAAATATCTCTACTGTATGAATCCAAATATGTCAGTTCTCCTGTAATATATGAGGAAGTCAAATTCCGTTTTCTCTGCAATGTCTCAAGAACACAGAACACTTAATACATTTCAAGATAGGAATCGAACACGGCATATATCTTACTTCTCCACTTTTCAACTTGGCTACGATATCTGCAGGGTTATTAACATGGACGACGGTCATACTATCCTGACCCGTGACGTCGGTCCATCTGGCCAGACACTTCTCGTCACTAGCCCAGCCATCAATGAAACCTTAAATAATCAAGGAGATTAATTTTGTATTTTATATTACTGTTTTTATTACCTACCTGAATGACAATAATATGGCAATACATTGAAACAGTTAATCTAGATTATACACGAATTTATTCAAAGAAAAACTAAACAAGACTAACAAGACAAGTTCATCCGGGAATGCAGCCTCTTCCTGAATCTTCCTGAGTAAATACAGTATGTTGTTTGGAGAAGTTACAACTTACATTTTTTTACAGAAAGAGACTTAAACAATCGTCAACAACTTTAGATCCTAAAATTCCCGCTTCGATTTCTACTTGATACAATATACTTATCGGCGTTATACATGTATGCTTTGATCAAAATATGTGTCTTACCGATTTTCTTGTTAGCTACATTTCTGGATGAAAACGAAGCAGCGTTCCCAGTCTTCGTAAAAAAATAGCTGGTTGGGGGCTTGAGGAATGGCGAAGAAAAGCTGAACACCTGGATCCTACCTATGGTTGGAAACCAGCCGGTACAAGCATCATACCAACGGCCCATCAAACCTGAAATGTGGTTTTATAGGACAACTACATGTTTCAATTGGTGGTAAAATTTTGTTATCAGTAATATCACTTCGAATTTAACAGTCTCTCTTGCGAAATTAACAAAGGTTGAATACATATTGAATACCAAGTGCTTGTTTTATTTGTCTACTTATGTTTAGGTTCAATTATATTCGACAATAGTGTTAGTATTAATGATATAAAACAAATCGCTGCTCCGAGGCATATTATATGCTTCAGAAATATTTTGAGTACAGGTATGAACGTAGTCAGACAGAACTTACATGGGCAATGTCGATTCCCAAATAACTTAAACCAAAGGTGATATTTTCTTCAACACCAAACACATTAATTTTAAGAATTTTCATTAAAATAAGTAGTATACCTAAAGATACGAAATTATTTAGTATCATTCATTTTATATATCTACATAAATCATGTATTTTTTCTAGACGAGGCAAATTTGATTAATTCAGTAAATCTTTATTGATTTGAGCCAAATAAAAATAGGCCACATTTTTCGGTGAAGATTAAAGGGATAACTCTTCATATGAGATCTTTATTTCACGATGAATACATTGTAAACAACTCATAGAAATATAATATATTCTATTTTACAACAAGAACGGCAGTTATAGCAGTTATTTTGAAATCTGTGTTTGCCATCGGACCGCGTGACCTCCATAGATGGCTATACTCTGTAATAATCTCTTCTCAAAACCGAAAAATAATCTCTTTAGAGATTATTACAAAAAAGCGAACTTTTAAGGAAAAAACAGACACCTTTGAATGTAGAAATGGATAAATCGGGAAAATTGTCATTTACCCCAGGAAAATTCATTTTTTGGCCAAAATGAACAGTTGTTATCCTTATAATTTTTGCTAACGTTCGTTTTTAGTACATACCCCCCCCCCCCCAACACACACACACACACACACACACACACACACACACACAAACATCACTTACCCTGTCCGCCGTGTGAGGGTTGTCCTGGGGTGGAGTCCCAGCAATTGACGTACTTGTCCCATACAGTACGACAGTCCATGCCAGCCTCGGTGCAAACTGAAAAGATATAAAGCCTAGATTACATTTGAAATGCCATGCCAGTACATTGCACGTATACTGCCAGTAATACCCTTTTTGCACGGCGTCTGAGCGGGGGTAGACGGTGGCCGTGCGAAATCGCACGGAATCGTACGGGTTTAAGGCCATGTAATGTAGAGGCTACACTCGGTGTAGCCCGTAGCTCCTTGCGATTTCAAAAAAAAAAATTGTTTGGACAATTTCATCGCACGGCCCCGTGTAAATGTAATCTAGGCTTGTTTAATTTGTTAACAACCGAAATTTGTCGTTAAATTATTAAGTGAGTGATAGAGCGTCAGATGGGGGGGGGGGGGGCAGTGATCAAATTATTTAAAATTCGACAAATTACTTAACATTCGATGAAAACGAAATGTCGATTTACCTGCGTCGATTAAATCATAATGGAAGCCTGCCAAATAGCCAGAGGTGTCTCTGAAACAGGAACAATACAGCTACCAGCATGTTGAATGGATATGAATGTAAGAACGTGTTTCATATGTGACAATTTAAGCATTTATTGCTTTTTTTTATGGAAACCACACTGTGTTGATTAAAATGCATTAATAAGAAATGACTAAGGATATGTCAATGAATAGATAGAGTTTCTAAAGCGGCGGTATTGAAAACCTTATAGGCCTACAATATGGCTGTACACTGTTGTACATAGATCGGTAATTTTGCAGAATTCTCCTTAATTTTATACAGAAAACATACGTTTTTGTCATGGTTTTTCCTTAATCGAGTTATGTGGTGTTTTTGATAAACATCTCTGTTTTCAAGAAATTAGTTTTGTTATTTACGGATATTTCGGTTTACCTTAGTTCTCATTATATATAAAAGGCTTGAATTTATCAAAACCGAAAACTAATTATCTACTTTTCCAAACACACATATAAGTACGTAGTTTATTTGAATGACAGATATATTTGTCAAAGTCACGACAGTATTAAATTCAGAAAATCCTAGAAGTCTAGAAGGGTTTGAGGACGTCTTTTGTGCCTACTGGCAGCACAGGCTTCAAACATCTGCGCATGTGCGAAAAGTGTGCTGTTTGAAATGAACAAGTTGGTGAAATTGACAAAGCCTGCCGGTGTTTACCGTGTGGTTGATTTTATTTCATTTGCTCTCTGGTGTCTTTCTGAAAATTTACATTAGAAATGTTATATTGATTTTATGTTTTAAAAAGTAAATCCGTCGGAATTCCTTAGAATAACATTAATTTTACCTTCATTTTTAAGGGGATTCCCATTGTATTTATAGTGTTATATGTGGCCCCAATGGGGATTTTCACACCTCCCCCACTCTTGATTAATAAAATTCTTCATCGGCCAGATTGAAAATGATATTGCAAAATACATTCAAAATCGTAGGAAGGTTAATTGCAGATAATACTGCGAGGACATTCTTGTGCAAGGGCAAACTTGGCCAATATAATTTTTTTTCTTCGTCTCCCGGTTTTGGGGCGCCTGTTCTAATTTTTGAAAGCGAGGCAATGGAACCAAACAATACGATGCAATTTGTAATCTCGAAAAAATTGCCATTTTCAATAAAGACCATAGCATGGAGTAAATCGAAATGCGACTCGTTTATTATTATGATCTTTAATAATCATTAATATTAAATATACGATTTAAGAAGTTCTTGTTCCTGGCCTATTTATTAACTTAATTGATTTTTTAAAGTATTTGGAAATTAAAAACACAAAAGTTGTCTGGTTTCATATCGAGGCACCCCATTTCGTTCGTGTGCTCCTACTGGCACTGTATAAGCAATCGCGGGTTATGCCACGTCTTTTTACTATGGTATTTTTATCGGCAGAGATATTTCTTTTCCACAGAAAAATCTACCTACATATATTCGTGAGCGCCCCAGTCATGTCCTATGGCGATCGTGAAGATCCGTCCTCCAGATGACGATGAGACTACAGAGCCTGAGCTCCCACCAGAACTCCCAGCAGACGATCCTTGTCCAGAGGTGCTGCCACCTATTGTAGTTTGGTCGCCTTGAATGGTGATGTTTGGAGTGGTCGAGGATCTCGATACTGCCACTACAGCTATAACTATGGCAATTACGGCGACGATTGCACACACTGCTACCAGTACTATCAAAATGCGGTTTCCTGAAGACGCAATTAGGAAAATAAAATAAATAGTTACAACGTTTTGTTGACAGTAATGATGAATTCAAACCTTAGGAAACAGCCAGAGAAGAATTTCGTCAGCTGTGTTATGTAAAGAAAATAAAGAATTCTTTCTTCAGTCAACAGCTTATTATTGAAATAATTTACTATATTTTGATGCCTAATAGAGCATCTTAATCTGGAAATGAGGCTACCCGGGTGTATTTTGGACAGATTTTGGAAATGATTTGATTTTAAGATCTGAAGTTACCTGCAGGAGCAGCGCCACCTTCCATGATTTCAAATTTCTGCATCAATAATCGGCGAAGGAAATGTTAACCACTCTGAAGAGGAAAATAAGACAGCTTTACTAAAACTCAAATATTTAGACAGTTTGCTGCACAGAATAAAAGCATGGGACATACGGGTGAAGGGCGACACAACGCGACAGTGTAACCATTTTCAATGCGTCGGCGATATAGCTGTCCCAAGCAGAGGTATCCCTCTTCATAAGGAATACGACAAGGTTGTACGGTTATATCTTTATTTTCAACATATTCATCACAGATAATAATAATAATAATAATAATAATAATAATAATAATAATAATAATCGCCGAAAGGAGAAATAGGCCTACAAGTACATGTAGATATTTTCAACAAAATCAGCCATGCACTAATGTTAGAATAGGCGAGAAATCTTTTTTCTATTTATCTTTTAGTCATAAAAGGATGGTAACGTAAATGTAACCCTAGCACGATGAAACTGGTGAAAACCGCACCCAGTGACAATTTTAGCGCCATGCTACACAAGAGCAAGTTGTCAGACTGGAATGTAAATCTAAATCATCTCAGTGGACAGGTTAATGACAGGCCTAGATGTACACACATAAACGTAAAACGTGCAGGTCTAACCACATGTTTCCATGCTCCAACTAGTTTAAATAAAGCCCCGTACGATTTCGAAAGTACTTAATAATTCTTTACTGATACTTACTTTATATCATCAGGTCGCTTGTGAAGTTCTATTCGGTCTAGTTAGATGATTTATACACTTATACATATGTACGGAGCTTTGTTAGTATCATATTAACTTTTTTCTATTTTCATTTAAGTTTTATTTTATGGAATTTTCACCGCGGTGGAAATTATTTTCACCGCGGTGGAAAATAATTTTCACCGCGGTGAGAAATAATTTACACCGCGGTGGAAAATAATTTTCACCGCGGTGAGAAATAATTTACACCGCGGTGGAAAATAATTTTCACCGCGGTGAAAATAATTTTCCACCGCGGTGGTAATTCCTGGCCATCTCGGCCCGGGTGATGCATACATGAAGGTTATACGAATCCAACATTTACCAGATGTCTGGGGAGGAAGTTGATAAAGACAAGCCCATGCACATGCACGCGGTTAAACCGGTCTATGTGCCAATCATCCCAGGAATGTGGAGGAAGCGGGCAGTATAGCGGGCAGAATAGATTAAAAATCACCGAAATGCTGCAATGCTGTGCGTCGCTCTTCGCTTTATAATAACTTGCGTATTATTGGGAATATTGGTAGAAAGAAACCTCTCCGAAGAAACCGAGATTACATCTATGATAAGATCTACGGGTGAGTATGGATGAAAAAGCATTTGATCAGTTGCGGTATTCCTTTGAAGTCGCATCTAAGTCCAGTTATCTTGTTAGACTTTTGTCTTATAGTAGTTGGAGGTGCATTAAGGGGTGTGGGTGCTGTAGATGCTTATACAGTAAAACAAATTATCCCATCATTTTTCCCATAAAAACGCATGCTCTTTGCAAACTTGTCTTTAAATTAGGATTGTGTGGTATGTAGTTGGAATAAAGAATTCTTTTTTGCACCGTTTATTTATGTGCTAAATAAATATCTTGTGGGTATTATGAATATTTTAATATTGTGTGTTACTTTTAATAATCCAAAAATTTTACGTTATATTATATCACACCTTGACGATTTAGGCAGCGCGTGTCGGCGTATCAGAATTTCCCTAAAATGCTAAACCATCGATGTTTTTTTTTTTTTCATTTTTAGGTGTATACATAGCGTATTCCTAACAAGTCTGACGTAGACCATAGCGTATTAGGAACTTATTATCCAGAACGTTTGATAAAATGTCACAGGAGAATCTTCCACTGATTGGTTTTGATAATGAAAAGGATACATTGATTGCAACCTATTTCGAATTAGGATTCAAATATCAAGAAATCCTCGCATTTCTTGCTACTATTCACGAGTGGCCAATGAGTCTTGTACAACTTAAGAGAAATTTGAAACGATTGGGTTTAGGACGGAGAAGCCTGTACAAAGACAGTTTTCAGTCAGTCACTGAGGCTGTCCAGTTTGAATTACGTGGAACTGGTAAAGATCTAGGTTATAGATCGATGCATGATAGGATCACCAAAATCCACAAGCTTGTGACTGATCGGGAAACAGTCAGAGTTATTCTGAACTACCTTGATCCAGAGGGCGTACAGTGTAGGAGACAAAGAAGACTACGGCGAAGGGAATACTACACAAGAGGGCCTAACGATTTATGGCATATTGATGGGTGGGACAAACTGAAGCCTTATGGTTTTTGTGTGCATGGTGGAATTGACGGGTATTCACGTCGCATTATTTGGCTTGAGGTTGCCTCCACTAACAATGACCCATATGTAGTCTGCAGTTACTTTGCTAATGCCATTTTAAAAATTAATGGTCTTCCTAATGTCGTGCGGGCAGATCGTGGTACCGAAAATACAAACATTGCACAGATGCAAACTTTCCTTAGGGGTGCCAACAATGACAACCGCGGCATGCTGAACACATCATTTTTATATGGGCGATCCACTTCAAACCAAAGAATAGAGAGTTGGTGGAGTAAGTTTGGATCTATGGGCATGACAACATGGATTGAACATTTCAAAGAATTAACAGGTCAAGGCATTATAGACACTTCAAACAATCTAGATATCGAGTGCTGCAGGTACTGTTACATGCACGTACTGAAGCTTGAATTAGACAAGATCAAAATGCTGTGGAATACACATTACATCCGTGCTTCAAGACACCACGGGTGCCCATCTGGTAGGCCTGACGTAATGTACTACATGCCAGATCGGTCGGGTGGGGTTGAGTGCATGCATGCCGTTGAACAGACTGAAATCAATGTCTTGACCAATGCACTGACGGCAGAACCTTCCGTTTGCAATGACAATAATAAGGAATTGTTTGATATTCTTATGGCTGAAGGTAATAGGCAAGCTGCTGATAATCTAAACGACGCAGCTGACAATTTAGTGTATTTGCTTGATGTTCTTGAATCGAATTTAAGTCATGATAATTATTAAACCTCATAGGTTTATGAAATAAAGTTCTGTGCAGTGTAGTTACGCATTGTATTGCATTTCAGGGACACAAACCACACAACACTATAGTTCCAAATTAAAAAAATATTTATTATGTGCTTCTGCATGGACCCTACCACCCACACTCTTCAGATGCCACCACAATTTGCTAATATGTACATTATTTACACGGTATGAAACAATTACATGTAATGGCACTATGTTACTGAATGTATAGACTACAAATATGTGAAGATAAACACAGATTACAAAGAGCACATCTGAGTCCGAAAAGTAGTGTGATATTGATTAATTTTTCCACTTCAATCTGAAACATATAAACGGACTCGGAAGCAGCCGTTCAAGCTGCATCATTTACACTCAACAAATTATAGTCATATGGTTGAAGCCAAAAAGTCTAAATATTATATAATTCTTACTTTGACCTATAATAATAATAATAATAATATCATTCCATAAATCTAAAAACGATACACAGGAAGATACTGTGTTTTCCGTTATTTTTAAATTTGAAGATCACCTTTTCCCCGTCCGACATACTTGCTATTTGTTACTATTAAAGAAAATTTTTAAGATACATGATTAAATAAACGCACATGGTAATAGAGAAATTTCGATGCCGCACGGTTAAGGGTACAGACACAGATAGTTATCCGTACCTATTAACCTCCTAAGGGCAGACAAAAAATCTCTTGATACAGCTCTCACTACACGTACGCAGTTAGTTCCAATACTTCACTCTGTCAAGCCTGAAAAGGGCAAAAACTGTTTAGGCTGCTAGCCCTTCGAACGAATTTAAACTAATAAAAATTAACAATGGCCTAGAGTGCCAATATATTCTCAGTCCCAAGCCCTTCCATTTTTCATCAAGAATTGGTCTAAAATCCATGTCTGCATTGTTCTGGATTACTAAAATCATCCAATATGTACTAACTGTTCACCTCCGACATTACCGAATGTCTGATTCTGTCACGTTAATTCTTGTAAATATATATATTTTGGTGGCAATATCCTGAACAGGAATATTGTCACACTATGTTGTCACACATCAAGAATTCAATTTTCTTATTTTCTAAAAAAAATCATCATTATCAGGATATTTCATACACTTCTATTCGACTGCTTATTAAGCACGTCCAAAGCCAACTGCATTTAAAATGCCCTCGTCCATGTTTGACTTGAATACTTCAAAGTCGTCTACCTCGACGAGTGGAAGATAAAGTCTGCATTCGTGCTTGCCAGGGGGTACTTTCCGTCCGAATGAAATCCGACTTCTGGGGATGGTGTAAATCCAACTGGAGGAATTGTCTGGCTCCCGGTAGCAAAGAATATAATATCTTTCAGGGAAGACTGGCACTTTCCCTCTGTAAATATAAAACGCATACATGCATCTTTAACTCATGCATGTTGACTTGACTGAAAGCAGTAATTGTTAATTGTCACATGGAAACTGTGTAATAGAAACGCATGTCCGCCAGGAACCCATGTCCTAGTTTCCATACGAACCCTTTATGTAAGGCATCTATCTAACCCGAGGATCGCTGGGGATAGATGTCCCACATACCGAAATAACATAGATACTAGAACATCGGTTCCTAGGGACATGTATTCCCATCACATCTGCGCCTCCCTGTCAAACATGGACAAATTATTGAAACTATATGTTGGACCTTGAGTACATTAACATCTACAACCTCAATAAAATAAGCAACGTAGGGGACTGTGGGACCCCTATGGAGGCCACAGGCCCCAAAAGCAAAAACCGCCCTGTCGCTCATCCCGTCTTCACCTTCGTGCCAAAGTTGGGGAAGTTCCCTCTTAATTGTCTGAGATTTCGCGAAACGGACATAAGTGCAAACTTTGAGTCTGATTATACATAATTACATAGCGCTGATAAGTTAATTCACGTAATACTTATCGGTGTTATCGCTGCTCTTCATAAAATTACTTATTTGTTATTTATGGGACCTGGCCTACCTGCTACATCATCTACATAGTCGTGCCAGTAAGCGAGCACACCCGCTGCTCTAGTGCGCTGGTTCTCAGGCAAGACTGGGGTGAAAAGCTCTTGCACTGCCACCGCTGTCAGGGGCGTCGGCAGATAACAGCATATACTCTTGAATGCGTCTGGGTTTTGGCGCATCATTTGCCGGACATTTAATACAGATAATCCTTCCAAAAATCTGAAAAGGGAAGATGACGACTGAAATTAATAAACCCCGACATTATTTGTTGTATATTACCTTATTTCTAAATATATCCCAAGATTTAAAACCCTCTAAGATAGACTACCCAAAGAAATACTTGTGTTATTTTTAGAGGACAGTTTCGTTAGCTTGGCGTGCTCATTTATTAATGCAGTCTATTTTTATCAATAGCTCACGCTAATGGGTAGGTTTTTGATGATGACTGAAAATCACAGAAATATTGGATGTCAAAAGTTAGTTTTCAACTCTTGAAGCCATTTCACGTGATCTTCACGGGGATATGTATGCCGTGCTTGCTAAATTGCATCATCATCACAGGCTCGTAGCCAGGGGGGTTCGGGAGGGGGGGGGGGTCGAAAGAACCACCCTTTTGGCTTGGAAAAAGTCCACTCTGGGTAAAATTTGACCTAGGCGCATGAAGTTTTTACGGAAAAAGGTCCACTTTTTCAGAAAAAGAACCCCCCCCCCCCTTTTGAAATTGCTGTCTACGGGCCTAATTATAACATAAAACCATGGAAGCGCCAAACCGCGCCATTTAATCAATTTTATCGACAGTTTTATTTCGCTAGTTATTAGCTGCATATGACATTAAGGGTGATGTATGCTACTTGATTTAGCGAATCAAAATGAAACTTAATACCAAGTGCGATAAATCATAGTAGGGAAGTACAACATGCCTCTGAATGCACCCGGAGTTCCTTTCCAACACTTGAAACCTTAATGCCGATTGCACGATCTTTTCTTTATCTTCAAGTTTGCGCACAGGCATGAAGCAGCCAGCAATGTCCAAAAAGGACTCGGCGTTTCCAAGAGCCCTCTCCAACTCCGACATCGTACTTGCATTAGCAATCTGAATGATAAAAATAATCAGCGAAAAAATAAATGTGCCTATAATAATAAATATATTTATGTAACCATGCGTTACAATAGAGAATGCGTTTTACAAAATTCTCTTATTCAACATTATATAATTGTCAAATGTCTTGAGTCAGAAACTCTTGCATGCAATCACGCAAATAGTATCCACTGGTAGATTTTCTAAACCCTACTGTAGCAGTGAAAAGAACTTCAACAGTTCAGACTCTGTTTCTAATGGTTCAAAATTCTTACTTTAATTTGTGAAAGGGAACAATTTTCACTTGTTGTATCTTTATGGTGATGGGGGAGTTATGAAGGTGGGAGTAAGATGATAATTGTAGCATTTTTCATACCTCGGATATCATATGGCGGATTTCCAAGGGATGGACGTCCGAAATATCTGGTTTAACCTCGAAGTCTTTGATTACTATGTCATACAAAGTCTTGGACATAAAGTGCGGTCCCTGCGAAATATGTGCCATTGCCAGGGCTATTGTTTGACCGCAAACATAGTACAGGTCCTGCTCTATCGCTGAAAGAGACGATACGATGATAATACCAATAGACAAAATGTGCAATGTTAAAATTTGTAAGTGATATTCAGTCGAGTGATAGGCACCTTCTATTAGCCTTTAATCGCAGCAGCAGCTGTAATCGTGTAAATTCAAAAGTATCATGAAATTATCAGATCTCCTGAAACTTACGCCTATAAACGGTGGTTAAGACTAAGAGAGAGGAGAGCTGTAAGCATTTGATAACATTTTAATAACCCACCGGGACGGAAAGGGACAATATTTTTGCTTCCATCAGGACCAGCTAACATGCCATGGTTCTTCATGCTATGAAGCAAAAGAGTAAAGAATTCTCTTGTTGGCCCCCTTCGTCAATGGCCCCCTCTGACATTCCAATGTCGTCCATGAATTTTACGGACATTGGCCTGTCTGGCAGGAACGTTTTTCGCAGAAATGCCCTGCGTGCTCCCTCCAGGATTTTGGACCTGGCAATGTTCAGAATATTAGGGCCTTCGTCACGCTTTACTTGAGCATTTAACTCAAGGAGCAGCTCCTGTAAGTTTCGCTCAACAGGCCTGAAAATAGATTATTTAATGATTTAGATGATTTCATATTCATGTCAAGATAAATTAAATATCCGTTGAACTAATAAGAATTGAATAACTGGTTTTTGATAGCCAAATATGAATTACTTCAGGTACGAAACTATAAGGAATTTGATGTGCTTTGGTGTGAGTTGTTACAACCCACACCCGTTACACATGTAGACGTGTTTTTTGAGTGGATTACCATAGCGATTATTTTTTCACAATTTTTTTAATTTGCAAATTTATATTCAATTAAATTAAAATTATACCACGCCAACAGAAGTGGGAACTAGAATCGTATGGCATTTGCTAGAAGTAGCATCAGAAATCTGGATGGGTACATAAGAATATAAGTGCGCCTGGGATTGGGGCTGTAGCTGTGAGGGGGTATCTATTGTCACTGTTGGGTACGAAATCATTTCACTACATTCAAAGTGAAAAATATATCGATTTAAAAGATAAGAAATCATTTAATTTTCTTGACTTTTGATTAGAATCTTAGGAAAATGGAAATCACAACAATGTATATACATTGTACTTCCAAATGAAATGTTCCTATTTGTAACAATATGCCGTATTTTTTAGGAAGTACTTTACATGATACCTTCAATCAAAATAATAACCATTAAACCAGAGGGCTGGTCCTCCATTTCAATTATATACTGATAGGCCAAATAAAAAATGTAACAAGAATAGTAAATAGTACCTGTTTTCCCTCAGACTAGCGGCAATGGCGGTGCGTAAATCTTCATCATCCTCATCCTCACTGTCATCGCTGATGACAAGTAAACTTGAGTATTGCCTGAAATATGAATAGTCATTCCTGTTAAACTAATATGAGACTCTTCTATCATACTTTAACATCGAAAACAAATCTAAAAAATTATAAAAAATTACAAACATGCTGACCCGACACCGTAAACCGTCTTAAAAGTTCTAAGCTGCTAGGCCAGAAATGTAATTTCATTAATTTTTTAAAATTGTTACTGGATTATGCTGATTATCCGGAAAGGAGGATAAGTTGAAAAGTCGGAGAAAAGTACCCCACCTAAATTCGTTTTTGGGCTCCAGACCTATGTATTATACCTTAAACATTCCTGACCATGTAATTTACGGTAAACAAAAGTATAGTGTTAACTCACATATTTCGCTCAAGGTTACTGCCTCTGCCGTCGCTTGTACTCGC